CCTTCCTTCCTTCCTTCCTTCCTTCCTTCCTTCCTTCCTTCCTTCCTTCCTCCTTTACTCCTTTCCCTTCTCTACTTCCTTCCACTTCTTTCAATTTTCTTTCTTTCTGGGCTCAATTGTCAGTGCCTGCCTTTGCTCGTTAATTGTTCTTTTGCGATTTTTGTTTGTAGCAGTTACAATCAGTGGTGGTTTGGTAACTGGCTGCCATGACCTCCAGATGAGAAAGGTCTTTTCGCTTTCTGCCAGCAGCTGCCTGCCTTCCCTTCCAACCGCCTGTACTGGACCGGAGGGGGCGGGAGTGGGGAGGGTCTCAGGCTGCACACAATTCCCCCCCACCCCCACCCCCCAGCATAGAGGAGGCCCTCTGCTCACAAGGGCACCTTACCCCTCCTGCCTGTCAGCTGCAAGCGTCGGGGGCGGGGCTGCTCTCCCCCTTACTGACTCTGGGATCTCCTACAGGCCCCTCAGTGCACATTTCCAAGCTGGAATCTGGACAGTGTTATTCCAGAGAATTCAATCCCTGCCAGAAAGGTACTGTCTCCCCCAAGGTTGTCTGTCTGCTCCCCCCCCACCACCTTTTTTTGGGCCAAAGGGACTTTCCTTGGAATTTTTAATTTCTTAAAATACGGTTTATGTTCCAAATGGGAACACCTGTATCTCTTGTCAAAACAAAAGTTAAAAGAAAAAAAAAAGAAGAATCCTCAAAGCCGAAAACCCATGGGTTGTCCTCTCTAAGATTCTTCATCTGTCCTTTCCACCTCCCTTCACCCCACCCCCCAAAACCCTTATGGACTTGAAATAAAACCCAGGTGAGGATCTCCAACTGGAAACACAGAGCTGTGTTTGTAATCCACTGTTACCAAAAGTTGAGCTTCTGGGGAAAAGTAAAAGGGTGTCAAGGTGTGATTTGCTATTCTACTTTTTTGGTCTTGACTCCTCTTCCTCCAGCCTCTTTAATTTGAGGGCTTTAGATTTTGGACCAACTAACGGGCCTGCCTCCAAGGGACTGGAGGAGTGTGTGATACTCTTCCTGACTCGGATCTGTACTCAGGTGGCTGGACTCTGACTCCCTGAAAGCAGTAAGACTATTTCCAGGGCACCCCCACCCTTACCTCCACCATCAGCGCTGCCCCCGAGGTCAGCCCAGAGTGGACTCAGAAGCCCAGATACATGTGTGGTGTTCTTCAAATTCCCCAGAAGTACTCTGAACACCAGAAACAAGTCAACGTCCAACCCTCATCCCATGCCACCCCCACTCTCAGATCTGAGGAGGGGACAGTCATTGAAGTAGTTCAGCAGAGGTATGACCTTTATTCAGAATCTCTCGGGGCGCCTGGGCGACTCAGTCGGTTGAGCGTCCGTCTTCAGCTCAGGTTAGGATCTCATCATTCATGGGTTCAAGCCCCGCATCGGGCTCTGTACTAATGGCTCAGAGCCTGGAGCCTGCTTCAGATTCTGTGTCTCCCTCTCTCCCTGCCCCTCCTGTGCTCACACTGTCTCTTTCTCTCAAAAATAAATAAACATTAAAACAATTTAAAAAAAGAATATCTCTTTTTTTAATTAAAAAAAATTCTTGTAAGTGTGGTACTCTGCTCCCAGGGAGATGGTCCTGTGTCTCTTAAGACCAGGAAATAGGCAGGTAGTTGGAGGGGAAAGAGCATTTGAATTATCATCAGATCTGGGCTGCCTCATGGAAGAGGTGCAAGAACTCTTTCCAAAACTATTTACTTATTTGTGACAAGCTCAGCTGTTGTCGTTGGCCCTGAGTCTTCATAAAATAAATGGAAACCCTCAGAGTGAGTCCTGAAGAAAACACACGATCTAGGTTTTCAAACAAAAGACCAAACTCGGGTTAAAAATCACAAATTGATCTGTAACATTTGCATGAATCCACTCAGGAGTCTTGCTTTCAGTGTTTCCCTAAGTCTACGAAATTTCTTCTTTCTTTCATGCAGTCTTGATGCTCTACCAAGGGTCTTACTAATAATATCTCTAAGTTAGAAAATTGTGAGGATTAACTTAGGAATGGCCAACACTTGGCTGGCATGTAGACATCACTGACAAATGTAGCTCTAATTAGCAATTAGCATTTCTGCAGGTTGTTATAGAAGGTGAAGAGAACAGAGTAGACCACGTTAAACGTATTTGAGTGTTGTATGTAAGCGCTGAATCACGGGAATCTACCCCCAAAACCAAGAGCACACTGTATACACTGTATGTTAGCCAACTTGACAATAAATTATATATGTATTAAAAAATAAAGTTTAATGAGCTGCAAATCCATGACTATACACACAAATTAGAAGAAAAAAAATAAATTAATTTGAGGCTCTCGTTTTCCTTGATTTCCTTAGATCAGTGGTCCTCAACCAGGGCTGATTTTTACCCCCAAGAGACATTTGGCAACACCTGGAAACTTTTGGTTGTCAAGACATGGGGTTGGGAGGCATGAGGGAGGGAGGAGGGTGTGTGTGTGCGTGTGTGTGCGTGTGTGTGCATGCTGCTGGCATCTAATGACCAGAGAGGCCAGGGATGCTGTTAAACTCCCTTCAGTGCACATGGCAACCCCCACAGCAAAGTTCCCTGGTCCAAATGTCAATAGTGTTGAGGTGGAGGAAAACACTGCCTTATATGGATCCTGGTTTCCTTAGGCTGTGTGTGTGAGGGAAAGATTTTTCTTCGGCAAATTAGACCAGTCCTGAGTTTTGAAAGGCTATCAACCCATGATCTTTTTTTTTTTTTAATTTTTTAAAGTTTATTTTTGAGAGACAGAGACAGAGAGTGAGTCGGGGAGGAACAGAGAGAGGGGGAGTCGCAGAATCTGAAGCAGGCTCCAGGCTCCGAGCTGTCAGCACAGAGCCTGAGATGGGGGTCGAGCCCACGAACCGTGAGATCATCACTGGAGCTGCAGTCAGATGCTTAACCAACTGAGCCACCTAGGCACCCCTGTGATCTCTCAAGAAAATATATAAAGCTTCATAAAAAGTTCTTTGATCTTAGCATCTCAGCATTTTTTATCACAATGGTGACAGAGTGGCCATGTTTTTATGTTTTACTAAAAAAAACAAACAACAAAACAAAAACAAAACAAAAACAAAATCCAAACAAATTCAAGTTAGGGGCACCTGGGTGGCTCAGTTGGTCAAGCGGCCAACTCTTGATTTCGGCTCAGGTCATGATCTCACGGTTCGTGAGTTCAAGCCCTGCATTGGACTCTGCTCACTGCGTGGAGACTGCTTTGGATCCTCTGTCTCCCTCTTTCTGCCCCGCCCCTGCTTGCTCTCTCTCTCTCTCAAAAGTAAATAAACGTTAACAAAACCCAAGTTATGGCTGTGAAATCTAACTTGTTTGCCATGAACTTAAAACCGTTCTAAAAATGAAGTCTTAAAAAAAAAAAAGTCTGGGGCGCCTGGGTGGCTCAGTTGGTTAAGCGTCCAACTTTGGCTCAGGTCATGATCTCACGGTCCGTGGGTTCGAGCCCCACGTTGGGCTCTGTACTGTCAGTTCAGAGCCTGGAACCTGCTTCGGATTCTGTGCCTCCCTCTCTCTCTGCCCCTCCCACACTCACTCTCTGTCTATCCAAAAATTAATAAACATTAAAACAAATTTAAAAAGAAGTCTAATGTGAATAGAATAGTGATTGTGGTCAGTGGAGGTTTGTGATTTATGTCCGACTCTTTCCTAGGTGAAAAGTTACATAAGCTAATAACCGTGTACAATATGCAGGAAAGTTGATAAGAGCGGAAAGCCAACGGGTTCTCCTCACAAGAAGAAAATCTTTTTTCTTTCTTTTCTTTTTTATTGTATCTCGATGAGAAGACGGATGTTAGCTGAGCCTAGTGCAATGATCGCTTCCCAATATATGTAAATCAAACCATCACGCTGCGTGCCTTCAACTTATAACAGCGATATATGTCAATTATAACTCAATGAAACTGGAAAAAAAGAGGTTATGGTCAAATGAGTTCCAGGAATAAAATTTATTTTTAATAAGATTATTCAGATTCTTCACATCTTTTCTAATCATTGGATTAAACAAAAAAAAAGGGTCTCGTTTCGATTTAATCAGATCTGGGAATAAAATTCTCAACTGTCAAGCTGTTCAGGGGATTGCAGATCTGTAATATCCAGCACAAATTACGATTCTGTGTTCTTAATCCTTTTGCCGCTCCCCTCATGGTTCTGTACTTATTACTTTGTTGATCGCTTAATTATGTCGGGTCTCAGTTTACTCATCAGAAACATTAGGGGTCAGAGAAGCAACCAGCCGAGTTCCTCACAACACTGAGAGTCTATGCTCTTGGGAAGAATTGTTATGTGTGTATGTTTTGCGGGGTTGGCAGAGGAAGAGGCGTATTTTGAGTGGGCATCTCTATGGAGGGTCTTGATACATAAATATGCCGGTGCTTGTGACCCCTGGAATTCAGAGGGACCCCGAAGCTGTCAGGACTCCCTTTTGCTCTTCCCAAATGACCACCTAGCCCTTATGGATCTGTCGTCCTGTAGCATGTTTTTTTCCTTTCTAATCCTGGTGTCTGGATTGTGAATCATTGGTTGACCTGGGTCCCAGGTCCCTGTTTCCTGCAACTTTGCACAGGCAGGCTGCGAGGGGGTTTGGGCCCCATCTTGACCCAGTGGATTGTGGTCCCAGGAGCTGGGGTAGGCTTGGAGGGTCTGGCTGTCAGCAGAGGTGACTCCTCCCTGGGGCTCTTAGCTAAGCTTGGTTTCTCTGTGAAGGATGGAGACAGGTGGTGGTGGTGGTGGGGGCAGCTTCTCACTCAACCTCCTTTCTGCCTCAGCTTCATCTAACGTCAGATCTGGGATCGGTCAGAGAAGAGATTGTTTCAGTGTTTGGCCCCGTGAACCACGCCTCTTGATACCCATGCCCTGCGTGGTTTCCCCCCCACATTGCTCTGGGCAGGCCAAATGACTCGCCTTGGTCAATTGGACATGAGTAGCCGTGATACAAGCAGAAGCTTGATAAACCTTTGTATTGGGGACTTGCTCTCTGAGACCACACAAAGAGAGAAACCCAGGAAACAGACAGCGTCAGCAGTCAGGCATGTGAGTCCAGCCACACTAGACCATCCCGCCCCAGCTGAGCTGCCAGATGGCTGTAGACGTGAATGATCCCAGGAAAGACTACAAAAGAACAGCTCTCCTGAGCCCGGCCCAAATTGCCAACGCACAACATTAGGAGCCATAATAAATACTTTGGGTGGCTTCCTATAAAGAAATTGATAACCGATATTAGAGCTGGTTGCTATTGAGCCGTTTGCGTATGGGGTCTGGAGGCCTGGGAAAATCCACTCCTGCCTCTGCCCTGCTCCCTTGCCTCCCTTATTAGCCGCCTCTTTGTTTCCTATGATTTATATGCTCCTCTCTGTGCTCCCAGAAAGCTCTGTGCCCATTGGTCATTAAACTGCATTCATCGATCATTTCATTGCTTCTCTGTGTCTCTCTTTGGCCTGATCCCCTCAAGGACTAGGACTGTGTCCTTTTCAATGTAGTATTTCCAGAGCCCAAGACAG